ACTGATCTTCTTGAATCTTGACGTCAACTATTTCACGGCACCTCCTTTCTAACACCTTTGCGTAAACTTTGCCTGGGAGGCTCAATAACGTTATGCCCCTGTAATTGGATCATTCCTTGTGGTCTCCCTTCTTGAATACAGGTACAATAACTCCCCTTCTCCAGTCCGCTGGTGTCTTTCCCGCAGTCATCACAGTTTGACAGACACGTGTTAGCCAGCACATGCCTTGTTCACCTAATGCCTTAAGCTTCTCATAGCGGATTTCATCAATTCCAGCAGCTTTTCCATTTTTCAAGCCTTTCACAGCCTTTGTAATTTCATCTACAGAGATAGTAATATCCGTACCCTTCTGCTTTACAGGCAAGTCTTTCTGCGGTTGCGCGGGGTTAAGGGGTTCCTCAGAGTGCTCCCTCCATCGCCAAAGAATGCCATCATCCTTGGTAAGAGGTAGTTCAGACCTGTCATTCAGGACTCTGAGACTGCCCTTCTTTTCGCCTCGGAGCCAGCGGATGGTCTGACAGAATACTTTGTTTGCCGTTTGGAAATTCAATATATATGATGTTACATGTGGACGAAACCGGTTTATTTATGCAAAACATGATGCGGTAATCTGTGAAGTGATAAAACAGTGCTGATATTTTGGCTCCAATCTCATGGGCGTACTTCAAGGTAAATTGGTGGCTGTTTTTTGGCGATTGTAACAGGAGTTTTTGACATCATCCAAAGTCTCAGTAACGATTATCGATGGATTAAAGAAAACCCATGATATTCGGTCAAAAATGTCCTTATGCATGTATCACCTAACAAATCACTGTTTAGTTGCTTAAATCAATGTTTTATTACTATATTTCGTTATAACTGCGATATTCTTTGTGTAAAATGGGTAGTAGTATGTGAATATAAAATGGATGTTGGGCAGTAATGTCATTAAGTAGAATGTTTCTTAGTACTATATCTGTATATTTGAATACACGACAGCAAAATGAATGATTTCACTGAAATATGTATGATTGTATTTTACGGCAGATTTTCATTGATCGTATTCTACTGTGATTGGATGTGCTTTTAGCTTTTATCCTTTGGCATGAATTCGAACGCAAGTGGCGTCATTATTCTTCTGGAGTTGCTGCGCGTATTTTCGAAGTTATACAGAAATATGAAGACCAGTCCAAAGTGAGTATAAAGTATATTAAATGAGACGTAAAACATTTGAATGTCTTTGAGGTATAACTTGATTTTTCTGCTCTCCGCTGGAGGAAAACTGAACTATCAAGGGACAAGGCAATGGATCGATAACTATTTTGAACGCTATGGTAAGACGGTTACTCATTTGTTTCCCCTTGTACGTGAGTTTGAAGAGTGGTAATCTGTTTAGATAGTCACAGCAACGTGGGCTCCAAAGTCCATTACGCATTATGCTTAGACAGCTTAGCGAAGAGTAGCCAGCTGTTCATGCATGTATCTAAGGTGCCGAAGAACGAAAGTTACTTGGCCAACTTTCATCAGGTGCCATGCTTGGAGTCCTGAATCACATGTTTAAACTTACTCGCTGTGCCATTCAGCAACTGGTCGGAGCAGCGGAACTATTCAACCGCAGTGTCGTCATTGTTCAGAAGAAGATCAACCTAGCCGAAGATTTCCTGGCGTGGGAACATGAACGTTTTAACATTCGGAAGATCTATGCTACTACGCTTTCTACGTCTAAAACACATAAAGATATAACTAGCCGCTCAATTTTGGACTTGAAGTAAGCTGAACGGTGGGGCAATCAATGAACTCTGTCGCGATGGTACACTTAATTTGGTGAATGCGTCACGAGGAAAGAGTACTGGGGAGTACTCTAAGCGTATGCTTGCTTATGTGACGAAGTGTCTGCTTCGTGCATAGAAAACGTATGGCTACATATCTATAGCTGGCCGCGTCTAATTAATCATTATCATTCATGAAGCCGTTCACTGGTTTTTCTACTTGTCCGAAGCACTGCAGAGAGTGCAGTATATGTATTCAAAAGGAAGATATTGTTTTCAGTGGGTCAAAGTAGTGAGTTTAAGTTAAGGTTCATATATACTTAATTAAAGTTAGATCTGTACAGTAACTTAATTATGTTATGTTCTGATGTTATCAGTTATGATGCAGATCTATGGCAGCTGTGCATTTCCAAACTATATAACAGCTGTAACAAGTTAAAAGGCACTGATAAATTACGGCGAATAAATAGTCTGCAAAAAATGTGGTTAACAAAACTACTCTGTTTAGAATAAACCATGCGTATATCGCGCGTCACACGAACGCCTTTGACTCACTCGCCAATCATCCCACGAATTCGTTACTAAGAGGGCTCGACCTCAGAAAGGGTGAAGGCACTTAATTGATCTAGGGTTCTATTTATTATAGTAGAAGCAGATCCACAGCTGAACAGATGATCTAGTTTATGAAAGGGTCCAAAATCGTTTCATACTTTTGGCAAAGATAATGTGTAACTGCATATTTTACTAGTCTAATGCACAGCACCAAACAGTTTCAGTAGTGGGGGTGGGGTTGAAGGCAAAATAACATAAGATATCTACTGGGGCGTAACAGCGACAGCCATGGCGAGTTGATAGCACAGTCCTCATATTTATTCATCTGGATATTATTTCCGCTGCTATCGCCTTTAGAAGTTTATTATTTCTTCACTTAACTTGCTGTAACTATTTGGTGAAATTTTGTATCATTCGCGAGATGGCTGACTACATTATCCTACTCTGTTTTCAGTCTGAATCCGCCATTCCAATAACGGTCGGGACAGTAAGAATGATTGACGGAGCAGCCAGAAGTAATGAGAGTACCGAGTTGATCAAAATAAATAGAGGTTACCTCACTGCATGTTAGCTAAGACAAAAAATTATCTCCTCATAGAGTGGCTATCCTGTCCTTTTGACATACTCCCAGCGAGTCGAAAATTGATTAGATCCTAAATAATTCAGTAACAGTTTCAATTTTACCGGCTGTTTAATGTCCGTTGCTTTTTTTCCCAGTCAACGATGTTTTCGCTTTTCATATATTTCCACCTGAAAATACTGAAAAATATTGGGAATCTGTCTTCATGTCTGTCTGCCCACTGCGAGTGTTTGGATGTGTAGCCAGGATGCCAGAAGTGAGACTGAAAATATACTCTTCCAAAGCCGTGTCGCACGTAGTTAGCAGATCTGTGATCAGATAACTGAAGCATATTAAACTCTTGATCGTCTGAAACTTACCCAGTTGGTGGAGGATCTGACCCATTATGGTAACTCTTGAACTGCTATCCCATAACAGAAAAGAATCGTGATCAGTGTAATCGAACGAATTCGTATTTTCATCCGAGGCTGATATTCTATGTTTCATAGGTGTTTCACATCTAATGAACTGTGAAGAAAATGCTCTGACAATTGTATGATGACAGTTTGTAATGTCTATTTTATAATTCAAATCGGGTATTTTAAGAAGTTTTTTCCATTGCTCACAAGAATACTGAGTAAAGGAGCACTGCCTTTTTAAAATTGTTGGGTTTTTTGTGCCATTGTGTAAGCTGTAGTATCACGGCAGATAATGCTTCATTTAGAGTTTTCCATTGAAGTTGTAAGATGGTGCAACCCCTTTCCAGACACTTTTCTGTGCAGTTGTTATCCTCTGTTAAGTTCATAAGAGCAACGGGTATTTTGGTCTGATTTTTGATTTCGATGCATTCATTCACCTGGTATATGCCAGATCTGCATTTTCATCAGATTGAAAAGACGAAGGTCAGTATAGAAACAGTACGCTAGAAATGAGTTGATATCTTCGTATCTCTGCATGATCATGTACCGTTGTATTTTCTCTGAATATTCTGTTTTATTGCCCCATCCCAGACGTATCCCTAAAAACTGTTTTTTCAGCAGTTTTTCCAGCACTTTGGGCAGTCACCCTGTGTTTACACGGACGTACTGCGAAGATGTTCTGCGTATTGTCCTGCGTATCGGGTGTTCTTTGATACAGAGATGCTTATGGTGAAATTACCATGAAATTTTAAATTTAAATCTGCTTTAACAGTGAACCATTAGCGTTAAGTGCATCGTTTCTGTGATATTGAGTTGTTTGCAACACTTGTGGCCACCTGCTTGAGAAGTTGTTAAGGGCGCGTCTGCTGAGAAGTCAGTATATGAATACTTCTGCAAATATTAATTGTTCGTTAATCTTATAGGTCGGTCGATGGAAACCTGTTTTTTATTTCTTTATTACGTGCTTGTTTCTTTGCGCGCTGATTGATAGCAGAATTCGTTTAGAACTTGAGAATTCCGTTCAGTTATCAGATAAGGACGTTAATAATGCGTCACATCTGTAAATATTACAGTGCTGGTAATGATGCTTTGGTAAGTCACAAACGGGAAAACAATGCGTAAAATATTCTTTAATTAAGGCTGTCTGACGTTTCGGGCCAAGCTCTGTCCGTTTTCAGAGTATAGTGAGAAATGTACGCAACTCTACGTAGCCGACTAAGCCACCTCAAGACCCAGAAACCTA